GCTCGAAGTAGTCACCCACTCCTCCACTACCAGAATGAAGAAAAAGTAAGATAAACTCCGGTGATGTTAAATACCACCTCAACCGGAAACTGTTTATGCACCTGGTAATCACGGAGAATTGCGTTTACTGTTGTTCCCCCGCACAGAGACCCCCATTTCCGCTATTCCTCCTGCTAATACTTCCCGCTAATACTTCTCATCTCTCATAAAAAGTTGGTATCATTCTCGCGCCCCGAGTTCTTTGTCATTCTTGATCATATGTCATTATTTCCAATTTACTGCTGCCGAAGACAGCTCTGACATCCATAACGTGTGAAATGGAGTCTTATGTGAACGGCACATGTGAACGACGTTCACCTGGATGTAGAAAATATGTTATTTTGAGGTGTTTTTGAGAGCGTTTACCCTTAAATTGTTGTTTGAGGGGGTAGCAGAGGTCGCCATGGCGTTCATAAACGCTTGGAATTATTCCATACAAGGAGACAGTCGTCACTACACTGCTTCCTTCCTCTACTCACACGCTTTAGAAAAAAATTAATATCTCTCAAAATGTTTTCCGGGGGTCTTGTAATTTTCAAAAGGTGAACCCGTGTAATTCAGCCATGAACGAAAAATTCCGTCGTAGCATTCAAAATAAATTTATATATATGTCGTGCTGAATAAATAAAACTTGCAATTTTGGCTTTAATAGCAACACTCTTCTTGTTTAGGTAAGACACATATGCAACAGTTATTAGGTATCTTTATTTCGAAACGTTTCGCCTACACAGTAGGCTTCTTCAGTCGAGTACATAAAAGTTGATAGAAGCAGAAGAGACTTGAAGACGATGTAATCAGTCCATCACCCTTAAAGTTTTGAGGTGGTCAGTCCCTCAGTCTGGAGAAGAGCATTGTTATTATTCCAGACAATGGAACAATACTCTTCTCCAGACTGAGGGACTGACCACCTCAAAACTTTAAGGGTGATGGACTGATTACATCGTCTTCAAGTCTCTTCTGCTTCTATCAACTTTTCTGTACTCGACTGAAGAAGCCTACTGTGTAGGCGAAACGTTTCGAAATAAAGATACCTAACTGTTGCATATGTGTCTTACCTAACAACCTGTCGGTATTTTATACCATTTTATTGTTAACACTCTTCTTGCCGAATAAGGCAAGCGAAAATTTGTGTATGCAATAATTTCGCAAAAATCATTCTGAACCTAACGAAAAAAATATATTTCATAGTGTTTGTTATTAAATTATTGTAAACTTATCTAAAATATATTTAGTAGAATTAGGCTAAATTAAATTGAGCTTGTTATAATAAGGTTAGGTAAGTTTTCTAAGGTTCTTTTGGTACAAAATTATTGTTTTTTTACATTAACATTGAACGTATAAGAGAAAATTATAGAAAGTACTTAATTTTAAACGAGTTCTTGCTAATTGACCAGTTTTACATATTCGGCACGACATTATATATATATATATATATATATAATATATATATATATATATATATATATATATATATATATATATATAATATATATATTATATATATAATGCGCACCGTTAGTATATTTTTTTTTTCCAGTCTTCATGTGTGGGTCCAACTCCCACGGGTACTCCACTATTTTCCGACATTTTATTCGTAAAACGCGGACACGTGACATCCTATCGCTTACCCATTTCTGCTCCACATTTTTGTGAAAGGCATCGCAGCTCATCCCAGAAAATCTCCCTGAAAACTCATTTTCCAGCGTCAAAGCTGAACAATCGGCGGCAATTTCTCGGTCGTAATAGAAAACGGGCAAATCCCCCCTACGCTCTGTTGCCATAAATGAAATCCAGAATCTTTTTTATTCTCTCTCCAAGTCAGCTAATTCATTCTTGCTCTAGTTATAATTATAAACAAATAAGTATATCGTAGGCAAGCTAATTTAAATAAGAGCGATGAGTTTTGATTAGGTAGATTCTTACACACATGGAGAAGAATTTTAAGAAAATCGTCTACTTGGCATCTAGCAGTGTTGATCCCCGCACCTGCTAAAAGAGCCGATTTTTCGCCGCGCTGATACCATCGCTCACCCCAGCTCTACCTGATTAAAACAAAGCTCTAAAGCAGGATCAGGGAAGCTTAGGGCCGTCTGAGCGGCCTGGGGAGAGGTGCAGCAGTCAACCTTGGTCAGAAGAGCAGCTCCACCCCACACACCAGACCCCAGCAACCCCCACAAATCAGACCCCAGCCACCTCACTAACCACTCCAGCCTCTCACCTTTAAGCGCAAACATAATGCACTTTAAATAATAGTATTTAAAAGCATTGATTTTTAATAAGAAAACTCAAACTATTGTTTTTCAATTCCCGTCACAGACCATGTTAAAAATTACATGTTCCATTATGTTAGAAGAGGTTAGATATACCTACTAGTTAAAATAGAATATATCCCACTGGCTGGTCAATATATTCAAAAAGACACACTTTTAAGCGTATAGACCCTGAGAGAGAGAGCGAGAGAGAGCGAGAGAGAGCGAGAGAGAGCGAGAGAGAGCGAGAGAGAGCGAGAGAGAGCGAGAGAGAGCGAGAGAGAGCGAGAGAGAGCGAGAGAGAGCGAGAGAGAGCGAGAGCGAGAGCGAGCGAGAGAGAGAGAGCGAGAGAGAGAGAGCGAGAGAGAGAGAGCGAGAGAGAGAGAGCGAGAGAGAGAGAGCGAGAGAGAGAGAGAGCGAGAGAGAGAGAGAGCGAGAGAGAGAGAGCGAGAGAGAGAGAGAGAGAGAGAGAGAGAGAGAGAGAGCACTCTGTGTTTATACTTTATTAGAGATCATTCAAAGAGATAAATTAGACGCATGTACAACATCTAGGTATCTTTATTTTGACGACGTTTCGCCAATCAGTGGCTTTATCCAATCAGTGCAGATATTACTTGAAGGTGTTGAAGCTGGAGAAGCAGAAGACGAGATAATCAGTCCCTGAGTCTAGTTGGTGTTCACCAGCGTAGTCTTGGTGACTGTAAAGCATTGGCAGGAAAATGGTCGCTTATATAGGAGTCAGATGAGGTGCGGCAGTTGAAGGCATCGTCACAGTGGGCGGGACCCACAGGTGAAAGTATATCATGCCTAAGAGTTGGACCAGAGGTTAAACAGGTGAGGGTATCCTCTGTACCATGATTCTGTGTCGCTGTGTCAGACAGGTATGGTGGTAGCAATGGTATACCAACAAGTTGATGAGTAAGTCACATGTATATCACCTGACTATCTTGATTCTGAAGATGGTTCGCTAACTTACTTTATTAACTCATTACTGAGGTACAGACGATACCTTGTACCTGTCTGTTAACTTCTGGTCCAACTCTTGTGCTTGGCTTACTTCCAGTAGTGGGTCCCGCCCACCGGTGATGATGCCTTCAACTGCTGCACCTCATTTAACTCCTATATAAGCGATCATCTTCCTGCCAGTACGTCAGTGTCATCAAGACTGCGCTGTATTGATTTGAAAAAGCTACTGGTTGGCGAAACGTTGTATATATATACTGGGAAATTACTCGGTATCTCTCTGTATTAAAGACGTCCATTAGGTGTTACATAGAACCTACAGGTTGAGCTCTTCTCCGTGCACGTTGCGGTATTGTCTCGTTGTGGCTAAGTTGTGTGAATAATTCCATCTAAAGTATTGAGAATTACTTAGGTATATCTTATTTTCATCACTCCTCAATCTTGCTCACTCCCTGGATGTGTTGTAAGGGTAGTGAGCCCCTGCAACAGTCTTGCTCACTCCCTGGATGCGTTGTAAGGGTAGTGAGCCCCTGCAACAGTCTTGCTCACTCCCTGGATGTGTTGTAAGGGTAGTGAGCCCCTGCAACAGTCTTGCTCACTCCCTGGATGCGTTGTAAGGGTAGTGAGCCCCTGCAACAGTCTTGCTCACTCCCTGGATGTGTTGTAAGGGTAGTGAGCCCCTGCAACAATCTTGCTCACTCCCTGGATGTGTTGTAAGGGTAGTGAGCCCCTGCAACAGTCTTGCTCACTCCCTGGATGTGTTGTAAGGGTAGTGAGCCCCTGCAACAGTCTTGCTCACTCCCTGGATGTGTTGTAAGGGTAGTGAGGTCCTGCAACAGTCTTGCTCACTCCCTGGATGTGTTGTAAGGGTAGTGAGCCCCTGCAACAGTCTTGCTCACTCCCTGGATGTGTTGTAAGGGTAGTGAGCCCCTGCAACAGTCTTGCTCACTCCCTGGATGCGTTGTAAGGGTAGTGAGCCCCTGCAACAGTCTTGCTCACTCCCTGGATGTGTTGTAAGGGTAGTGAGCCCCTCCAACAGTCTTGCTCACTCCCTACCCCCGAGTTGTACTATTTTCGTAGTTTTTAGTTTCCAACTCTTGCCAGTCCATGCTAAAATGTTTTTTTGTGAAATTTAAAGGTGGCTGTAGAGTTAGAGCTGAGTATAGTACCCCTCGAGTAAGTATTTGAGGACGACTCTGTCATCCTTACGCAGGAGGAGGGGTAAGGGTCGTACTTGAGGGAGAATAGGATCACGTTCAGCTTTGCGCACTGGCTGGTTAAATTGCTATTGACACCAACCCCTTGTGAGGGGGAAAGAGACTGGCGAGGGGGGGGGAGGGGGAGGGGAGGGGGGAATTAAGAGGGGAATCTATCTGGCGGTCTGTGGGAAGGGGATTGTGGTTCCCCTCTGAGGGGATTAGAGAGGAGAGGCATAGATGCGCTTATTCCCAGGTGTGCTAGCGAATGCTGTGTGTGTTCGCTCAATGTACTCTCTAATGTTGCTGGTGCAGCGAGTACCGTCGCTGGCGCGGCGAGTACCGTCACATTAATGACCTGGACGCCGGAACTACAAGTAATAAGCAAATTTGCTGACGACACAACTAGGCCGAGTAATAGATACTGAGCAAGTTACCAGAGATGCGTCTGCGGTTCTCACAACGCTTGACGTAATACGCTAAAAGACTTACGGCCAAGTGACGCATGTAGCAACAGTTGCGAGTCACGTGACTTGAGCAACTGTCCGCCATAATGACTGGCAAATTCGCTCTTATTCAATACCCATCGGGTGTGATTTTTTTTTTTTTTAAATTTTAAGCCAGATGTCAATACCATAATAATATACAAGTTATTGTTATTTAATACAGTAGTACAGCTGTAATTAATGTATGTGAAATTACAGCGTTATAGTCATCTCTCACTGCCTGTACTCAGTCCCTGCTGTTATCAGGCCCTGCTGTTCTCAGCTCTGCTGTTCTCAGCCCTGCTGTTCTCAGCTCTGCTGTTCTCAGCTCTGCTGTTCTCAGCCCTGCTGTTCTCAGCTCTGCTGTTCTCAGCTCTGCTGTTCTCAGCTCTGCTGTTCTCAGCCCTGCTGTTCTCAGCCCTGTTGCTCTCAGCCCTGTTCTCAGCCCTGTTGTTCTCAGCCCCTGCTGTTCTCAGCCCCTGCTGTTCTCAGCCCTGCTGTTCTCAGCCCCTGCTGTTCTCAGCCCCTGCTCTCAGCCCCTGCTGTTCTCAGCCCCTGCTGTTCTCAGCCCCTGCTGTTCTCAGCCCCTGCTGTTCTCAGCCCTGTTGTTCTCAGCCCCTGCTGTTCTCAGCCCCTGCTGTTCTCAACCCTGTTGTTCTCAGCCCCTGCTGTTCTCAGCCCCTGCTGTTCTCAACCCTGTTGTTCTCAGCCCCTGCTGTTCTCAGCCCCTGCTGTTCTCAGCCCCTGCTGTTCTCAGCCCCTGCTGTAAATAACTTGCAGTGTAAATGTAACGTGCTTGTGTATGAGGCTGACGTCAAAATTACTTCAAGTTCTGATGGAATGATCACGTCAAAACAACAACCTACTGCTACTATTACTCATCAAGAGGATGAGCTCAATGGCATTAGAAGTATTCTTCAGACACATGCCATTAGGAAGAATGAGAAGGTGAAGGTTGGAAAGGGAGAGACGTGCCCTGTATAGGAGAAGACGACGGGTAACAGAGCTCCTCACAGCCACCACACTCTCTGAAGGAAGGAAAGTAACACTGGGGAATTAGGAAATGTTGAGCTCACACTGAACACAGAGTCCAGGGAAGACAGAGGCAGCTAGAAGCCATTAGTGAAATTGAAAGAAATTGGAAATACTTCTGATACGCAAAATTCAGGTAAAAAAAAATAGTATTGGGACTTTGATTACAGGAGATGAAACACACACACTGATGACAAAGAAATGAGTGAAATAGGTCCCAGTACAGCTCTACTAATCTGCCTAATCTGCCACTAGTCGGGATGAAAATTAACCCAAATGAGTTCTTCAGTGACAGCCTGGTTGATCAGGCCCTGACCTACCATGAAGCCTGGTCACGAACCGGGCCGCGGGGGGCGTTGACCCCCGAAACCCCCTTCTAGATATACTCCAGGTATAACTGAGACAAAAATGCTGCGGATATCCTTATCTCTATAATTCGAATCTCGGTTGATTTTGAAGAAGCCATTGATTGCCTACCCTTGCACTCTGCCCCTAAGATCAGACTCGTGGAACTCCATATTCACCAAGAATTGCAAGAAACACTTGACACGTGATTTAAATATTCGATAGAGAAGCCAAGACACGCGAGTCATTCCACGGTCATTAAAAACCCACTGACTTCCCCCACTCCATAAAAGTGACAGTAATGCAATTGCAAAAAAAAAAAAAAAAAAAAATTAGCCCTAATGTCCCACATAGTTTTTTTTTTATCAAGTGTGTCAAGAAGCAAGATTATCAATCGCATGGAATCACAGCATATACACAACCCAGGCTCTGGTGGCTGAAGCTCTCGCTTCACGCAACTAGGGTCGATTCCCAGCCAGAGTAGAAACATTGGGCATGTTTCTTTACACCTGTTGTCTATGTTGACCCATCAGTAAAATGGGTACCTGGGTGTTAGTCGACTGGTGTGGGTCGCATCCTGGGACACTGACCTAATTTGCCCGAAATACTCAGCATAAGAACCGGCTTTCTATATAGTAGTTTGTCAGTGATGTCAGCTAGGACTGTATACCTTGTACGTGTAGTAAATAAAGATATATTTTTATTAACACGGGCTCAGAACAGATCACTCCTGCCTTTCGCAATTGTTGGACCATTACAATATGGTTTTGGATGCGCTTGAAAACAAGGAAAATGTAGGTGTAGTATACACTTTTCAAAAGCCATTGACAAATGCAGCCATGGGGTAATTATACACAAAATACATACAAAAGGAATAACTTGTAAGATGCGCAGATGTGGACATTTAACTTCCTAACAAATAGAATTCAGGGACATAAATCATCCTCTGCCGATGATACTAGAATATATAAATGACATTCCAAGAAGAGAGCGAGACTCCAAGCTGATATCACCCAAGTCTTCCAGTGGGCCACTGACAACAGTGTTGTTCAACAAGGACAAATTTTGGGTTACTATGTCAAGGAAGAATGAAGGACATACAACAAAATCAGAGAACAAGACAAACCCAAAGCACTCAAAACGAAAGTAAAATGTGAGAGACCTGGGAGTGATAATGTCAGAATATCTCAAGTTCAAGGATCACAATATTATCACAGCTATATGAAATATGACAGGCTGGATAACACGGACCTTCAAACAGAGTTGCCAAGCCAGTGATGAAACTTCAGGTCACTCGTTCTCTCTAGGCTGGAATATTGCTGTGTACTAATGGCCCCTTCATGGCAGGTGAAACTGTTGAGCTGCAAAATATAGAACACCTTCACAACTCGTATCAATTCAGGTACCTAAATTACTAGGAACACTCGAAATCCCTAGAGCTGTACTCCTTAGAATTTGGCAAGAAAGATGCATCATAAGCTACACCTAGAAGATACTGGAAGACTGGACCGAAACCTGGACACTGAAACTGCTACTTATGAACACAGTGACCACAAGGTTAGACGGTGCAGGATACCTCCACTGAAGAACAGGAAAACGTTGAGTATCGTGAGAGGGAACTTAGTGTTAAGGGATCTTCATGCATAAGGAGGGATTACTCACCAACCACTAGCTGTGTTGAAGAGGGAACTCTACAGATTCCTCAAAACTGTTCCTGATCAGCCGAGTTGTGGTGCATACGTTGGAGTGCAGGTACCTGGAGACCTGGAGTTTACCTGGAGAGAGTTCCGGGGGTCAACGCCCCCGCGGCCCGGTCTGTGACCAGGCCTCCTGGTGGATCAGAGCCTGATCAACCAGGCTGCTACTGCTGGCTGCACGCAATCCAACTTACAAGCCACAGCCCGGTTGGTCAGGTACCGACTTTAGGTGCTTGTCCAGTGCCTGCTTGAAAACAGCCAGGGGTCTATTGGTAATCCCCCTTATGTATGCTGGGAGGCAGTTGAACAGTCTCGGGCCCCTGACACTTATTGTATTGTCTCTTAACCGGCTAGTGACACCCCTGCTTTTCATTGGGGGGATGTTGCATCGTCTGCCGAGTCTTTTGCTTTCGTTGTGAGTGATTTTCGTGTGCAAGTTCGGTACTAGTCCCTCTAGGATTTTCTAGGTGTATATAATCATGTATCTCTCCCGCCTGCGTTCCAGGGAGCACAGGTTCAGGAACTTCAAGCACTCGCAGTAATTCAGGTGTTTTATCTCTGTTATGCGCGCCGTGAAGGTTCTCTGTACATTTTCTAGGTCAGCAATTTCATCTGCCTTGAAAGGTGCTGTTAGTGTGCAGCAATATTCCAGCCTAGATAGAACAAGCGACCTGAAGAGTGTCATCATGGGCTTGGCATCCCTAGTTTTGAAGGTTCTCATTATCCATCCTGTCATTTTTCTAGCAGATGCGATTGATACAATGTTATGGTCCGTGAAGGTGAGATCCTCTGACATGATCACTCCCAGGTCTTTGACGTTGGTTTTTCGCTCTATTTTGTGGAAGGAATTTTTGTACTCTGATGAAGTACATGTTTACCATATCGGAGTAATTGAAATTTCTCATCGTTGAACTTCATATTGTTTTCTGCAGCCCACTGAAAGATTTGGTTTATGTCCACCTGGAGCCTTGCAGTGTCTGCAATGGAAGACACTGTCATGCAGATTCGGGTGTCATCTGCAAAGGAAGACACGGTGCTGTGGCTGACATCCTTGTCTATGTTCTCATCCTCATATCTGACAGACATCTGCCACAGCACCGTGTCTTCCTTTGCAGAAGACACCCGAATCTGCATGAGTGTCTTCCAGTGCAGACACTGCAAGGCTCCAGGCGGACATAAACCAAATCTTTCAGTGGACTGCAGAAAACAATATGAAGTTCAACGATGAGAAATTTCAATTACTCCGATATGGTAAACATGAGGAAATTAAAACTTCATCAGAGTACAAAACAAATTCCTTCCACAAAATAGAGCTTGATCGATCAGGCTAGCAACCAAGAGGCCTGGTCGCTGGGCATCGGCCTCCGACAGCGACTCCAGGTGTTAAATTCGTGTTAAATAAGCCTGAAGAAGCCTAGTCAGGCGCAACGCTTCACTAATAAACATACCCAAAGTTTGCACATGTTTTGCACATATCTTATTCTTAACATTTGTCAGTACTGTATATTATTAGTAACATGAAACCTCATAACAAACAGCACAGGAAATGACAGATCATTGTTAATGACAAGATAACTAAAATCTCGAGACTGTATGCACACTGCACCAGCTTGATGAATATCCTTAGTTGATAAGATTGTAACCTGGTAAGTGACCAGTGTTCATGGTGGTAGTAATAACGTATTGTGATGGAAAGATGATTAGTTATGAGAGTAGAAGACTGAAATATCTTAATGATATTATCAACTGTCCTCACTGAGGTCGGACGAAGACCCACTGTCACCTCTGTAACCCTTTGTTGTGCTGCCATTCTTGTATTTTATATTTGTCAACACATTACACAGGTTAGTGTATCACTTCATCAGAATTCTTATGCTATGAACGTTAAATGTATTCGTATTATTAGTAGTAATAGTAGTGGTGGTGGTGTAGTATTATTAATAATTTACAATATTATGCTTGAAATATGTGCTATGTTGTTTCACGAGAGGTAAACACAGCATCCTTGATACACACTTGACCGCCATATTGGCGGTCAAGTGTAAACATTCTATAGGCACTCTGGATAGTGACACCCTTGCATATATATAAAATTTATTATTATAGCGCCTCCTCACCCAACCTCAACTAAGCTTGATCTCTCTCCCTCTTGCAGGAGATTTGGGACGAAGTGTTCGGGATGTCTGCAGGGCATCTCTCCGCAAGACCTGGTACGGAAGGCTCGTGACCGCGTCTTCCACCTCAAGTGTTTCACCTGCTGCGTTTGCCGCAAGCAGCTCTCCACCGGTGAAGAACTCTACGTCCTCGACGAGAACAAGTTCATCTGTAAACAAGACTACATGAGCGGAAAGGCCATGTCTGGTGAGTAACTACGGATCACGTGCCTATATATTCCATATCATGGATCACACTTTCAACACACCGACCGTTCCCCACTGAGATAGGGTGTCCCCCGCCCACAAAAAAAACAGAAAGAAGTTCACCATCATTCATTTAATAACTGTCTTGCCAGAAGTGCACAGACATAACTCAAATGACACCCTCGGAACTGCAGCCTCTCCAACGCTCCCTCAGAGTGCAGGCACTGAGCTTCCCAACTCCAGGACTGGAGCGCGGCTACCCAACCTATAACTGATTAAATATTCCCTGGCTAGAATAAACAATGAATTGAGCAGACAGCGAGGCAAACTGCAAGAAAATATTGCCACGTTTCGCCCAGGACTGGACTTTTATTTTGCACGGATACCCATCCAGCCCTCGACAAACCATCGTTATTATACGTTTCTCTGCAAACAGTATTTGTTTTTCACGATCAGCTGGTTTACCAAAGGTAGTTTTTAACATCTTTGGACATAAAAAAAAAGCTGACAATTTCTGTGGCGTTCTGTATGTCAGGAAACAAGAGTGTCTCCCCTGACGTGAGTGTGTCACACGGGACACCTGTTCAACATTTGGTGTATTTGGCTGGCGAAACGTTTCCTCGATAGTGGCTTCTTCAGTCCAGAGAAGAACGGTGGAAGATAAGTAGTGTGAGGTAATCAGTCCCTCAGCCTGGAATCGATGTACACGTCGAGTCCAGGCTGAGGGACTGGTTACCTCAAACTCATTTTCCACCGTTGTTCTCTGTATTAGACTGAAGAAGCCACTCGCTGGCGAAGCGTTTCCTCAATAAAGATTCCGAAATGTTGCTCATGTATCTTATTCATTCCATTTATCAGTAATAAAATAGTTACCAGCGGCAAGTCTTGAGCTGAAGACCTACACACAGGCGCAACATTTGGATATCTTTGATTTGTAGACGTTTCGCCATCCAGTGGCTTTATTTATACAAGGACACAATGAACAAAAAGGCACAATACTGTGACTGGAACAATACACAAATAATCCACACAGAGGAGGAAGGTCTTTGACTTGTGTGTTGTTCCAGCCTGGTTATTGTGCCTTTTTGTTCATTGTGTCCTTGTATAAATAAAGCCACTGGATGGCGAAACGTCTACAAATTAAATATATTCAAATGTTGCATGTGTGTGTGATTCCTCATTTTGACGGTATTGTATATACAAGCCTCGAGTTATCCATATATTTGACGTCCAGTTCAGAGGCGTTATTGACGCAGGCAGTAACGACAGGCAGCGTTATTACCTTCGGGTAATAACGCTGCCTGTCGTTACTGCCTGGAGAAATGCAGGAGTTTTGGAGCCTAGTTCCTGGGCCTTATGTGTGTCCATATGCTCGTGCGCTACCGTCCACAGGATGGATATGAGGAGCACAATAAACAAGCCACTTCGGTGGAAAAAACTAAAATCTAATTCTGGAGAAATAAGGCAGGTATAGTAAAAACTGGGAGTGTGATTGCTTTAATGTGCGTCCCGTACCTGTCCTGTAGGAGGAGTCGCGAGGTCACAGAGGTACATAAATGCTCTTGGACCGTGAGGGGGAGGAGGGAGAGAGAAACGACCGTTTGTTCTGTGACAGAGACCATTTGCTAACACCAGACACTAGGGGGGGATCTTCCCCTTCCACTTCGCCTGCATTCCCTTTCCCTACCACCTTCACCTGCCTCGCAGAATTCCTTAGTTTACCCCTATGTCACCTATCTTCCTCTCCCCTCCCATCACCCCTGAGAGTGTATTTCTCTCGATGGCCCGCCCACGCCTCGCGATGCCACGCCCACGTGGTGGGTGTGTTGGCGTAGGGAGCTCGTCTTTGCCAATAAGACTTGGGTGAAGATTCTCAGTACCAAGGGAGTATTGACTCGTATGCACGATCCACTTACGACCCACGAATATATGAATTACCCAAGTGAATATAGCTGGCTTTGTATGTAGGTATATTTAGACGCGACATAGCTTGAGGCCGCCAGCAGCAACAGCCTGGTTGATTAAGCAGGTAGCGAGGAAGGCTGGTCTTGTAACAGGTCAGGGAAAACTGCGTTACTAGTAACACAGGGTAACTCTGACTCAAGGAACTATCGTAGTTTACCTTGAAGCTGTGTAGCTTCTTTAGTCGTTACTTGTAACACCATTTGTAACCCTTGTAACATACAATTATAACATGGCTTGTAACACTCGAAAAAGCCGCTTGTAATCGTGTAACAACACGTGTAACACTGACAAAAGTATTACTGCCCCCCGCGCGCGCGCGCTCACACACACACACACACACACACACACACACACACACACACACACACACACAGTATTTTGTATGATAACGACATACAAAATACTGAGAGGAATTGACAAGGTGGACAAAGACAGGATGTTCCAGAGATGGGACACAGCAACAAGGGAACACAGTTGGAAGTTGAAGACACAGATGAATCACAGGGATGTTAGGAAGTATTTCTTCAGTCATAGAGTAGTCAGGAAGTGGAATAATTTGGGAAGCGATGTAGTGGAGGCAGGATCCATACATAGCTTTAAGCAGAGGTATGATAAAGCTCACGGTTCAGGGAGTGACCTAGTAGCGACCAGTGAAGAGGCGGGGCCAGGAGCTTGGACTCGACCACTGCAACCTCAACTAGGTGAGTACACACACACACACACACACACACACACACACACACACACACACACACACACACACACACACACGCGCGCGCGCGCGCATACGTACGCACGCATGCACAAATATACAAGCATATATGTGTGTGCGCGCGCAGAACAACCATTGTGAACAAATATTGAAATTCCAAGCGCTTTCGGGACTTCTCACATCAAGGAACGATATAGTTCCTTGATAATGTGTGAAGTCACGAAAGCGCTTGAAATTTCAATATTTTTCAGTGGTTGTTCTGTATATATATATATATATATATATATATATATATATATATATATATATATATATATATATATATATATATATATATATATATATATATGTCATTTATTTATTGCGTGTGTGTGTGTATGTGGGAAAAGATTGAGAAAACGTACGCTTTTTCCTTTTTTGCGTATATACGCTTTGTCCAGCTGACTGAGCGTGACGCCGGTAATTAAGAGAAACCTGAAGCTTACCTGCACAACAAAAACAAAATAGGTTCCGCCGCCTACCTAGTGGGTCGTGGCACTGTGGTCTAGTGGGTCGTGGCACTGTGGTCTAGTGGGTCGTGGCACTGTGGTCCAGTGGGTCGTGGCACTATGGTCTAGTGGGTCGTGGCACTGTGGTCTAGTGGGTCGTGGCACTATGGCCTAGTGGGTCGTGGCACTATGGTCTAGTGGGTCGTGGCACTGTGGTCCAGTGGGTCGTGGCACTATGGTCTAGTGGGTCGTGGCACTGTGGTCTAGTGGGTCGTGGCACTGTGGTCTAGTGGGTCGTGGCACTGTGGTCCAGTGGGTCGTGGCACTATGGTCTAGTGGGTCGTGGCACTGTGGTCTAGTGGGTCGTGGCACTATGGCCTAGTGGGTCGTGGCACTATGGTCTAGTGGGTCGTGGCACTGTGGTCCAGTGGGTCGTGGCACTATGGTCTAGTGGGTCGTGGCACTGTGGTCTAGTGGGTCGTGGCACTGTGGTCTAGTGGGTCGTGGCACTGTGGTCCAGTGGGTCGTGGCACTATGGTCTAGTGGGTCGTGGCACTGTGGTCTAGTGGGTCGTGGCACTGTGGTCCAGTGGGTCGTGGCACTTTGGTCTAGTGGGTCGTGGCACTGTGGTCTAGTAGGTCGTGGCACTATGGCCTAGTGGGTCGTGGCACTATGGTCTAGTGGGTCGTGGCACTGTGGTCTAGTGGGTCGTGGCACTGTGGTCTAGTGGGTCGTGGCACTGTGGTCTAGTGGGTCGTGGCACTGGCCTAGTGGGTCGTGACACTGTGGTCTAGTGGGTCGTGGCACTGTGGTCTAGTGGGTCGTGACACTGTGGTTTAGTGGATCGTGGCACTGTGGTCTAGTGGGTCGTGGCACTGTGGTCTAGTGGATCGTGGCACTGTGGTCTAGTGGGTCGTGGCACTGTGGTCTAGTGGGTCGTGGCACTGTGGTCTAGTGGATCGCGGCACTGTGGTCTAGTGGATCGCGGCACTGTGGTCTAGTGGGTCGTGGCACTGTGGTCTAGTGGGTTGTGGCACTATGGTCTAGTGGGTCGTGGCACTGTGGTCCAGTGGGTCGTGGCACTGTGGTCTAGTGGGTCGTGGCACTATGGTCTAGTGGGTCGTGGCACTGTGGTCTAGTGGGTCGTGGCACTGTGGTCCAGTGGGTCGTGGCACTGTGGTCTAGTGGGTCGTGGCACTATGGTCTAGTGGGTCGTGGCACTGTGGTTTAGTGGATCGCGGCACTGTGGCCCCAGGGTGCCAGAAGGTTCAGGGTTAGGATATGAAATTGGAGAAACACACGTTTTTGCACAATGCTAGTGAAAACGTGTTTTGGGCCCTATACTAGTGTAACTTGTTTGGCACTATACTAGTGAAACAGTGCCAAACATGCTCTGACAGTGCCAAAGAAGGCGCATCAAAAGAGCACGCATAGTGCCAAACAGTGCCAAAGTCATGGGAAAGTTGGCGGCAGTGTCAGAGGGTGGAAGCAGTGCCACACGGGGGGAGGGGATCAGGTGGGAGTGCCAGGTGCCAAGGAGTGCCATGGTCTGGGTGCTTCACGTGCCAGCCGCTGGGGCGTGAAATGAGGTGTCGACACAGTGCCATAACTCACAAGACAACGAGACCTCGATGCGAAGATGAGAGGAAGGAGGAAGAGGAGGAAGAAGATGAAGATGAAGAGGAGGAAGAAGATGAAGAGGGATATGAGGAGTAGTAGTTTGTAAAAGAGAAGAATTAGAATAAATGGAAGAGTGCAAAATGCTGGCGTGAGATAAACAGTGGACACTGACAACGCAGTAGAGGCAGATAGACACGCACATGCAGAGGCAGACACTGGCAGAAGCAGAGATGCAGAGGCAGACAGCCGGAGATGTAGAAAGACACATGCAGACAGCTGGTAATGACCACAACAGTAATTACATCAGTAGTGTTTACATGCGTCAGGTGGTGCCAGGAGGGGACAGGTGGTAACAGGAGAGGTGAGGCGGTACCAGGAGAGATCAGACGGTAACATGAGGGGTCAGGAGAGGTCAAGTGTTACGAGGAAATGAATTTTGGTAATCTACACGCTCCCCATTCTGCTCTGTGGTTCAGTGAGGTGGATAGTGGAGGTTTGAGACACGCCTCTATTTTTCCCCTGTCGTTTCTTGGTATACCAGCGGTACGGCTCCTTAGTCCGTGAGGTGGGGACGAGCCAAGGAACAGGCGTTATTGATGTCGTCACACCTACGTTAAAGGTACAGAGTGCTGGTATGTTGATCACGACTGAGGAACTGAACATTTCGGGGTGAGTCACTCATTGGTAGTACCGACTCCAGGCTACACGTCATCACAAGATCAGAATCCGCCCACAAGGAGATCAGAATCCGCCCACAAGGAGATCAGAATCCGCCTACAAGGAGATCAGAATCCGCCCACAAGGAGATCAGAATCCGCCCACAAGGAGATCAGAATCCGCCTACAAGATAAGAATCCGCCTAAAAGGATATCAGAACCAGCCCACCAAATCAGAACCCGCCACAGGGAGCTCAGAACCCGCCACAGGGAGCCCAGAACCCGCCACAGGGAGCCCAGAACCCGCCACAGGGAGCCCAGAACCCGCCACAGGGAGCTCAGAACCGCCCCAAGGAGTCCTTGTTGTGTTTACAAGTCTTGGCGTGCGGCTGCGGTAGAGAAAAGACCGCATGCGACGGTCTCTTTGTACATTTTACAGCTTTTTAAGAGCAGCATCTCGCTACATCTGAGGAAGGTGTTGGCACCAGGCTCCACAACGGGCACTGCTGGGTTTCTCAGGGCACTGTGTGGCCGTCCTGGGCACCAGACGAAGCAGGAGGGGAGCAGCAGCAGCAGCAGCAGCAGCAGCAGTAGTAACAACAGCAACTACAATGCTACAACTACTACTAAAAACGTTTTTATTAATAGTTTAATGACAAGGTCGGAGGAGTTGTCTGAAGTAACAGGAACTCTGTTAACTGAAGGCAGATAAACAATGGTAACTCTGGACCATGAACTGTTGTGCTAGAATAACACATTAGTTTCATAGTAACCACTAAGAAAAAAACGGAGAAACGGCAACGGGACCATCTAAAGAGACGAAAACAGCTGGGCCATGTAGACAAAAGCCACCAGGACAGCAGCAAGACAGCACGGTACAGACATCAGACACATCAGTCCTTCCCTATACAAGGCATCAGTAAGATAATTCTATCAGAAGGACATACAAAAATTTAATTAACAAATCCACTATCAAGCATTCTGGTGTTCAGTTTCATTTTCTCTCAAAATGCTCAGTAGTTAGGTTAGGTTTGTCAGGAAACAGGACAGGTGTCCCCTGACGCGGGTCTTAGTTACATGATGACCCACAGCTGGAGTTTTTGGTCATCTGACCGATTCCTTCCACTGGCTTACCCTTCCACCCCCTTTAAAAAATTATGGTTATAGTTTCAACCATTTAGTTAGAAAGCTCTGGTAGAGATAACTTTAATACTTTCTTCAAGCTTAATTCACCGACAGAAAAGGCTTATAAGACATCAAAACGAAGTTTAATAAGAATGCAATTTAGACTTCGGACATGTGTATAATTTACACTGTGGGTTAGGCCCTTCTTACTAGTGCGTGTGTTTGCCAGAAGTAACTGCCATATGAACGTCTATTACGTTACGTCGCTTTATTTCTTTATTTATTACTGTACTTTATTACAAGTCACGTAAATTAACCATAACACATTGCTGTGTGTAAATGTTGACGTGTAAATCTACACGTCAATGGTAATGACCGAATCAATATTGTTTGCCTAATGAAGTTTGGAGGAGGGGGGAGGAGGTGTGTTACCCCCCCTCCCCCCCTTGACTGTTGTGAGGATGATAGTCTGTGTGTTAGTAAGTGGTCGGGAGTGTGTGTGTGCGCGAAACGTTCTTGGTGCTGCTGATGTCCTAATCATGTTGGGATTATAGTGCTTGTGCCAGCAAAGTTTTCGTACGTATTTGAGTGTATTAGCTATATGTGTAAGGCAAATAGCAAAGGAGTTTTAAGATAGCCCATAATGCCTAGGCATAAAGGCTCTCTTTGTATTGCAACCTACTATTGTATATACACAGTCTCAATGTACTGTTTGTAAAGACATTAAATAAATAGATTTTGTCGCCAGCGATGTGGCTAGGTCATTGTGCTCCCCATAGCCATCCTGTGCAGATTAGTGGCTAGGTGATTATGCTCCCCATATCCATCTAGTGAACGGTAGCCCAAGAATATATGGATACACAAAAGGCATAGGAACTAGGCCCCAAAAGTTTTAACGAAGTATAGCTGGATTTATATATACAATTGTCTTCTGTTGCAAGCAAATTTAGAATATTTGCTTATTATTCCTTGAGTTTAATTTTTACCAAGATACCGTGACATATCCCATAGGTTATTATACTATCCCTGTATTCCTCAATAAGTGGACAGTGAAGCATATATTGTTCAAGAAAGTGACCATAAGGCTGACCACACTTTGTATTTAGTTTGATCATCTCTGTGCCAAACTGCAGAAGTTCTTGTAACTAAGTGTGGCTGTTATATCAGTCAGTCTTTTCTCATTGCAAATTGCTCTGTAGACATACTTATCTCTCAATAGTATTCTTAATGCTAGACACGCATATCCAAGTTATATTCTACATTTTCCTTCAGGATACTTTCTTTGGCTAGGTTATCAATTTTATCATGCTGCACACCGAGGCTATCTACTGAGATCTACTTCTCCTCCCTAGATTAAGAACTATCGTGAGTGTGAGTGTATACTCGCCTAATTGTGGTTGCAGGAGTCGAGACGGCTCCTTGTGTGTGTGTGTGTGTGTGTGTGTGTGTGTGTGTGTGTGTGTGTGTGTGTGTGTGTGTGTGTGGGGTGTGTGTGTGTGTGTGTGTGTGTGTGTGCGCGTGTGCGCGCGCGCCTGTGTATGCGTGTGTGTGAGAGTGAGTGAGGGATAGATAAACAGAAAGCAATAGGATTAACCCTGAATAAGCCACGCGGCATTAGTGTTTATAATAATGATTAATAATAATAGTAATTGTTCTTGTTTAGTTAGGGGTTAAATTTCTATGCATTACCACCCTTACACATTCCCTTTCAAGGAAGGAAAAGTGGGGGGGGGGGGGGGTTGCCGTGTTTCGCTTAATTGTTTTACCGATGTATGTATCGAATCTTATATACACCGAGAGGTGTTTCACACGGTGTTTCACACGGTGTTTCACACGGTGTTTCACACGGTGTTTCACACGGTGTTTCACACGGTGTTTCACACGGTGTTTCACACGGTGTTTCACACGGTGTTTCACACGGTGTTTCACACGGTGTTTCACACGGTGTTTCACACGGTGTTTCACACGGTGTTTCACACGGTGTTTCACACGGTGTTTCACACGGTGTTTCACACGGTGTTTCACACGGTGTTTCACACGGTGTTTCAGTGAGGTAACACTTTTCTCAGTATATACACTGAGAATTGACTTGTGTAGCTATTTTAGGATTAAAGCTTTCTCGTATATTATAGAACAGGTGATTTTTCAGCCTTAATGACCTATGTTTAGTCAAAGTTCTAAACCCAACAATTTAATCATTCTCACACTTAACATATGTATTTTTTGGTGTTATTTTTTTTTTACTTTCCATGTTAATCTGCATATTAACTGCAGAATATCTTCTCTATTTAAATGATCATCCAGCACTATCATCCATAATTATCAATTATCATCTACAATTATCATCCACGGTATTGAGGGTCGATTGCTGAAGCGAATTTAACACTAGTGTAGGCAGACAGGTGTTATATGGGGGTACACATGCCAGGGCTATGTAGGTGTTTGTTTTTTCGTGTAGGTGTTGTGTACTTTAAGCAGGTGTTAATGCTCTAGGTTTTACACAAGTGTTGGCTTAGGTGGGTGTTTAGATGTTAGGCAGGTATTGTGCATATGTAGGTGTTGTGAATTTCATGTGTTATAAAACGGTTGCAGGTGTTTAGCAAAAGCTGCAACCAATATTGCACACTGGTGAGAAAGTTGGTCTTCTCACGGCATATAAAATTCTTCTAGCTTCTCAGAAAATGTTCTAGATACTGATTGGTCATTCTTAACTCTTACTGCTACACAGGTTAGCTGGGAGAGAATAGGGAGTGCTAGGATGTGAATATCATCTCCCCGTGGGCGTCGGGTGGGCATAGTAGGTGGGTAGGTCTGGCCCGGCCCCGTGGGCCCTGGTGTGAGTGTTACAGGTTGGTAGTTAGGTCCTGCACCGCCCTAAGGGTGTACCGTGGGCGGGAATTTAGTATGGGCGTAGTAGGTGGGTAGTTAGTCTGTCAGTGCCCTGTGGGTGTGGCTTGGGTAGAAGGGGCGTGGTGTGGGCGCAGTAGTGTAGTGGTGGTGGTGACAAGCAGGGCCCCCTTCATCCTTTAGGTAACCTGCAGTGACGGCCGACCTTCCCGCAGACTCCTTCACGGGAGGCTCCGACGAGGACGAAGACGAAGCCATGGACGTGAAGCCGCAGATCGAGACGAACAACAACAACAGTAGCAGCAGCAGCACCCCGCCCTCCACCATCCAGGGCGCCCTGCCTCTGCCCACCCTCACAGCTAACGCCCTGGCTACCTCGCCCCAGGGAGTAGCAGCGCCCACAGCGGGGGCGGGGCTAGCAGCAGCCATGATGGGTGGGGTTCGACCCAACACGCCCACTAGATCCTTGGGCGTGGTTCCTCCCACCAGCACTACGCCCATCCTCGAGCCAATGAGTGTCGGGGACACAAAAGTTAACAGCGCCTTCGCTGGTTTTAATGTAAGTACGACCAAGCTGCTGCTGGTGTGTGTGTGTGTGTGTGTGTGTGTGTGTGTGTGTGTGTGTGTGTGTGTGTGTGTGTGTGTATATATGTATGTGTATGTATGTATGTACGTACGTACGTACGTACATATGTATGTACGTACGCACGTATATATGTATATAACGTTTTCTGAAGATTTGTACTTTCTTAAAATCGATTAGAAACTAGTAACAAATTTAGTACTGAGCCTAACTCTGCAATAAATAAATTTACATTATCCCTGATCATATTATTTTTTTTTTTTTTTCAAAATTGTTCCTCCTCCTCTCACTGCAATATCTCAGCAGTCATGTTTAACTTTTGGGAAAAACTTGATAGTGGTGGTTCATTTTCTCTTCTCTCCCTCAGTCTTTTGTTTCGGTTGACTCAAAATTCTTGGCTACTCTTTCAACGAGTTATGTTCGTGTTTCTGGCTGACCACAGGAGTCCTAATTTTCCCAGTCCATCTCCTTCGGTGGAAATCTCCTAGTACTAGGAGGTTAACTCATTTTTTCCCCTCTGCGAATCAGCGAATCATTGTCCTGTTATCCTGCTTATACTCCTTGCTCAGCCTTCTATAGTTTGGTAGTGCATTATATTTATCACTGCTATTATTGCCTTAGTCGTTCTGGACGACTTGCTGTGTAATCCCTAAAATCACTTTTTTTCAGTTTTTTTTTTTAGTTAAATCTCAAGTGCTTGCTGACCATCTGTGCTGCTGCTACTTTGCTTCCTCCCCCCCCCCCCTTTTTTTTTTTTGATGGCGCTCTGGGAATATCGCCGTTATTGTTCGAGATTCGTGCTTTAATAGCTACAGTGTCAGGGTTTCCTTCTCCTAATGTTTCTTTCGTGATCTTCAGTTAGTGACTTCACCCACATATAAGTATCTTCTATCTCTTGCTGTTTTCGGGGAATATTGATTTTTTTTTTTTTGCCTCGCTTCTGTAAATACTGGACATGGAATCTGTAGTGTTGGTGCATTTCTAGGATTTTTTTTTTTCCTTCCCGTTGTTCGTTCCCTTCCGAGATGTGTAGTGTGTTTCTGGTCAGTTTCTCTGCGTCTGTCTTCTCCTTCCCCAAGTATCCCTTCCTGCCTGACATTTCTGTCTTCTGGCCTCGTAAACACATACTGCTACTCGTAAAAAGATTGATTTTGACTGTATCTGTAGCAGTTCAAATTTCTGTCATGATACCTTAGCAATATTTTTTGCACCGTTATGGATTCTCTTATTTCATTTACCTTGAGCATCATAAAGCCCTGGGCCACATACCCCAGTTTTCCCCTCTGTTTATCTCATCAATGCTTCCCCCTTTATTTTTAACCATTCATTCGCTATTTATATTTCCATACTCCCCTCCCCCATTGACCAATCTTTGCTTTTTCGATTTACATCTTCCACCGCGTCTGATCTACCTCCAGTTTCGTTACTTGTCACTGTTTAGTTCTTGTTTTATCATCCTATCTTCATTTTCAAGATCCTTCACTTTTTTCTTGCATTCTCCTTCCTTCAGTTTCCTCCCTCGGTTCTCTTTCCTGTCTCTTCCTGAAATTTGCTGATTTTATCCTCATTCTTTCTCCTGTTCCTCAGGTATCCCTTAATTTACATCCCCCAGTATTTTTGTTTAGGTGGGTACCACGTGTTACAGGTGTAGAACAGTAGGTAGGTGCCATATAGTCAGTCAACTCTATATAACCTGTATATAATGTGAGCTTCACTAAATATAACAGATAATATAAAAAAAAATTTAATATCACTACTGAGAAGACTAGACTTTTTCAAGCGGTATTATTTTTTTTTTGTAAACATCTTTTCAATTAACATTTATGAAAAATCTCAGTATACAGCGAAGCTATGAAAGTGACTGTATTACAGAAAGTCGCACTGTATCGACTGGGCTTGAACATATGAATCGTTAATGGACCATCAAAGGGTGTTGAACACTTGTTAAAGGTGTGGACCCTCGTGAAGGCCGAAACGAGAACAGAGTAAATGTGAAGAACCCGATTTGAGTTGCATCTGCTGTAGAGGACCTCAGTTAGTGGGGTC